GGATGACTTCCTGCCGAGAAGCAAAGACAAAAACAAAGTTAAGTCTCAGGTTGACAAAAACTCAGTTTGACTCTGAAAAAACTCAGCTTGGCTAGAGAATCCAAAACTGGCAAACAAAAACTCAGCTTAGACTTTCTAAACTAAGGATGGCTAGAGTACCCTGTATTGGCAAACACTCTGGCGTCGAGGTAGTGGCAGTCAGCAGCTTAAGAACACTCCACAGGTAATGAGGCAATGAGCTGCAGGTGTGCAGGGAGAACCAATGAGGACGGGGCACCACCTGGTGGAGGAGGAAAGGAAACACAAAAACAGACCACACAAACTGGATTCCTGACAGTACAGTTCTGTAACTTTCAGAACCCACCTGATGTATTGATGCGTAGAACCACCTGCTACAGATTCCACACCACCTGGAAAGAAGTTCAGCATAAAAAATGGCTCAAAAAATAATGACAGATAGTATGATCTTTATTACTTTTTAAAAACACACCAAAAAGAAAACAGTCTTGATTCATTCTTATACTATGGAATAGAGCTTTAAGGTTGAATAGTTTCAGACAAAGAAACTATAACTCTGCTTTGAGACTCATCCTACTGAACAACTTTGTCACCTGGCAAAAACACCTTAATACATTTATAAACTGAGATTCTCATATTTGTGAGTCATTAAATCTCTAAAACAGTGGTGTCTATATTCAGTCCTAAAGGCTACTATCTGCCGTGATGAAATTACATTTCAAGAAAGAAGAACAACCTCAGTGGATTACAGAACTAAAAGGAACCAGGAACTAGCAGCCTTCTGGAAATGCAGTGGAGTGAAAGTTAGAAGTACGCCTGCAAAAAACTACTCAAGTAAAGATACTCAAAAAAGTACTTTACAGTAATTAAGTAAATGTAATTTGTTACTTTTCACCACTGCTGATTTCTATAAACCTTTATTAGCGTCGTGACTCTGGCGTTCGGTGCTGCATGTTGGATGGACTGGTCCTGCTGGAAGACCTTTCAACTGGGAGAACCAGGAGGAGGAGAATTTTCAAGGAATCCCAACATATCCTGGCCCGCGATGATAACTGGTTTATTTCTTTGTTCTGACTCTTGAAGGAGGCGGTCACATTTTCCTTTACCTCTGCAACTCCCTGATCTTCCTGATCTGTTCTTGCTTTGGTGTGTTTTGTCTTTTCTGAGCTCTCTCTTCATATCACCTGAATTCAAACAATGGATCTGGTCAGATGGTCTCTCAATGCCATTGGTAGAATTTTCTCAACTGGACGACATGGAAAAGGGGACCCTTCCTGTCTTACTGGGACATACTTGGTGTGATACACCATTGACTCATGGAAGGCATGGGTGGTGTGTTTTACAATGTTCTCAGTGGAAGATATAGAAGATGTACAGTATGGATTTCTGGATTTATCATACTCTGATTTCTCCTGTTTGAATATGGAGGATACCTGATGTATCTACAATTACAGAGGACGTCTTTGGCAATTTGGGCATCAGGCTGCCGGCAGCAGTTGACACAAAGGCTGTGAATGAGCAAGACCAGGAGCTGAGTCGTATGCTGGGTGCAATTGTACGCAGGCAGGCTGCGGTGGTTGAACTCAAAGGGGAAATGGGATAATATCTTGGATGTGTATGTTTGCTTCAATGCAGAAAAGCCCAGCAAATTCAGAATATTGGATTCACCATGTGGAGCCCATCAAGAAAAGGCTCCAAGGCTGATGGTAAATTCTGCGCTGCCTGCTCTTAAAACAAAAAGTGTTATTCTGGATTCGGCCTCCCCCTTATCAAAACCCCCCTGGATGCTATGGCGGAAGGGCCCAGAACTGCCGGCTACTCTTCTTCAAGGAGGAGGGGACTCCTGGTGGATGCGTCCAGAACTGTAGCGCCAGTTGATAAACTTCCATTTAATTAAAGACAATGGCCTGTGGACAGCGTTCATGGACAAATTGAATGCACTCATTCATACACAGACAACTGATGCTTAAATGTCAGATGGACTTTCATGCGGCTCCAGCCTCCAATGTTTTCCTTCTGCTGAAATGTTTATCTCGTGTTACATGTGCTTTTTTGTGCTAAGGTGTTTTTTTGATGTCTCAAACTGTATCCTGAAATATGTAAAATACGTTTTCCGCCAATTCCTCCCCATTGTGGCTCCTGTCTTATCCCAGAGATTAAGGCAGTACTATAATGGAACCGCCTCACGGCGGGGCCCTTGAAGCAGTGGGGCCCCTCAGGTGTATGTGATGTATGTGATGAACGGTTTGTACTGAAACTGAAAATCTCTATTACAATGTAAATTGTAGTTGACAATAAAGACATTGATTGATTTATTTATTGATTGATATGTTAGACTCCCTGGAGTGAGGTCCTTGATTTTGGCTCCTTGAGGTTCTCTGTCCTGCCACCCTTTAGATGTGTCTCTGCTTCAAAACACCCAAATCAAATAACCATGTCATTAGCATGAGTCTAAGAACCTTTTCAGGAGGTATTTCAGCCCCTTGATTCAGGTGTGGGAAAAGATTCCCATCTAATAGAGATCAAGGAACAGAAGTGAGGAATGGTGCCCTAAAGCATTGCTATTTGATCTTTGTACTGGGTCCAGTAATAGGAGACAACGTGCCCCCTGTCCTGTTTAATTACAGTCGGGAATCTTCATTAGGGTTCTTGAAGTAGCCTGCAGGTATGTGCTTAAAATAATCAACAATTAATTAACTCTGTGCCTGCAGCCATGTTTAGGATCGACATCATTCTGCAAACGAATCTGTAGGTTGGAGATATCAAAGCGTATTACCTCCTGCTGTCCTGGATGGTATGTTTAATTCAAACCAGTCGATGTATCAGATTGTCGACCTGCTGCCACTCACAGCTCTTTCTTTCTGTTTTTCACACCACTGTTACAACCAGACATGATCTACCTGCTCACTAAAACATCAGATTCTGCCTCACTGTACAAAGGCACAGAAAAGCCTCTATTCTCCATGGCTGCCATTGTTAACAATGAGATGGCATTGATGAGCTGGCTAATTTAAATACTAATTTACATTCACCAAGTCCTGGTGTTGACCATTCCTCGTTAAAAGTGAAGGGGTAGTGGGCAGAACATGAGGCAGGACCTGGTGATTGAACGTTGAGCTGCTGCTGTGATCTATGAAGTACAGCTTCAGGATGGTGAACGTCTGCATGGTTTTATAAACCTGGACTTTTTGATATGATAAACCCAAAGCCCGTTAAAAGAGCATCTTTTTTCATGCTTCCATGGGTTTTAAAGAATCTTTAAAAATCGGCTGTATTTGCACCGTTACTAAAAGTCTTTTATGCCCTTATACTTTGGAAACATGCTTCTTGCTTTTTACATGGGGGCCATGAAGCAATCTGGAAGCTGTTATATCCATTCCCCCCTGGCCGAAAAACCTGTTTAAATCCAGGAACAATGGGCTTTTAGTGGCAGTGGGAACAGCTCACTGACGCGAGTCTACCCGGGTCAAACGACTCGGAAAGCGACCCACGTGTAAATCTAAGGTTCTGATCGGCATGCTGATCGGTAATTTAGCGGGGCGACCCCGCTAAATTATGTGGTAATTTAGCGGGGTCGTATGTGGTACCTTTGAAAGCAAAGTACGGACATCAACACACCGCTCCAGTCGCTTCTGATCTAACAAGCAGAATCAACTCTGTTTCCATTGGATAAACATGGAGCAGCTCTGCTGAGAGGAATTCAGACAGATAATAGGGAGAAACAATAAAGCACACTGACTACGCCCTGGCTTCCTTACAACTTGCTCTCCATTGTTTACTTTCCTGAGTTCTGTCACACTTGTGACATAATCAACGTGAAGCCAGCGTGATGATGTCATCAGACACGCAGCCGAGGGGGACAAAGGCCACACAGCTGCCATCGCATGGTTATACCAACTTTTATTGCCAGTGGGAAGGGAGCCTAACCCCTTGCTCACACTGGCTCCGGTGCGGTTACCAAGCCGACGGAGACCACAACTCCCGCACACCCCCTCTCACACCGCCCTTTTGACTACGGTGCGGTGCGGCTCTGCGGCTCCGGCAACAGGTCCGGAGATTTAACTTGCGAGAACAGAAGTTCACTTGCGTTCACGTAACTTCACGCGATAACACGGCCCAAATAAGGATATTTGCGAGAGCTTGTTGCGGAGGGCTCCGGCACGCCGCAAGGATAGCTTTCTTGCTGAATTTTCTGCAGCGCCGGAGTGTCTCGGTAACTGCAGCCAGACAGCTCAGCAGCCGATGAGAGAGGTTTACGTCTTTTTAATGACTTGGAATCACTGCGGCGCCGCACCCACCGCACCGGAGTCGGTGTGAGCCGGGGGTAATAATGATTATTAGCGGGTCGACCTTTGATTGAAAAACATGTGTTAACCTGCTATTATCAGTGGGAAAGAGGTTTTGGACTGATGTATTTATTTAAGCAGTTAAAGATAGAGAAATTGTAAGTTCTTGGCACGTTCAGTTGCGTTTTATCCTCTCCTTTAGATGCGTAAGGGTAGATTCATCTACTCCAGTTAAGTTTCCGTGCAGATTTACTGGGATTGATATATTCCATATAATTTCATACAATCAATTCAGGAGAATAAAATATAAGTTACCATTCTGAGGCAATCACTCTGTCTTGTTGTAGAGCTGTTGTGGGGGTGGGCTCTACTGCTTACCCATGATCCAGATGCTCTATATCTATGGCATCAAGTGTAATCCTCCATGCTGTATGATCTCATATATGCCAAATTTATTTTTGCCTTCACTGAGTCTTTTTCTTTCTTTGGCTGTTTGTCTTCTTGGTGGGTGTTTGCCTCTTATCTTTAAGCCTATGGCTGCTGCAGGGCTGAAATATATGCCTTCTCGCATTACATGGTTATACAGCTATTGGATCAGGCAAACAACCAAACCAGTAAGTGTGTGTGTTCATGTGTGCAAAAATATGGAGAAATGTTCCGCTTCATGTGCTCTCTTTTTGTCACTCTTTGTTCTAGGCTCTAGCGATGGGAATGATGACGGAGTATTATCACTACATCTTCACCACACTGGTGAGTACAGAACCAGGCAGAGATGCAGTTGCTTTTTAGAACTTTTTCACCTTCAAAATACAGATTGAATGCATGCCCAACAAATGACGAGCTGCTGTTCTTTAATATTTATTTCTTTCTTTTCTATTTGTTTTCAGCTCAGAAAGGGTTTAAATGACAAACCCTGACATTTCTATAACAGTGTATCTCCACATAGATATGAATGGACACAAACCTTCAAACAGTCAAGATTATATAAATAATTTGAACTTTAGAGAACATTTTTGTAATAATTTGATATTAGGTGGATTGGGCAGCTGGAAAAAAATATAAAAAGTTAACTGATATTTTTGTTTATTTAAGTTTAATATGGGAAAAAGTCAATATCCTGATTTTTCCCCCATATTCCTTTTAAGGGCTTTGAGCACAAAATTGAACAAATTGCCAAGGCAGGGCGTTTCAGTCTAGTGAGCTTCATATTCCTCTTCTACTCGTTTGGCTTCCGGAAAGTCCGAGTAGCGCCATCTCACTGCGGAGCTGAGTCCCACCTGGTTTTTAGACGTACAGTGTGAGCAGGTAGATCACATCAGAGCGCTGGGCCGCACAGTGTGCAACAATTGAAAATATCACGCCCATCTTAACCCCTTACACCCTAAGGGGGTATAAAT